GGGGGGGGGGATGAGACGAATTACGACATTTGTTGGGGGGGATGGGGTACGAAACAAAAAATGAGTGAAATAGTATGTCTATGATTAATAAAACTACAGATTTTTACAATACAATATACTTTCAAAAAAATCGAGTGTATGTTCGTAAATGTTCCTAGCTGTAAGTTGCATGCAATGTAGCACAGTAGTATTTATGAAAGTGTCTCGATCGGAACCTATTAGTTTGACATGTCTTTGATTATGTTATTTTACCATCGGGTGGCTCCCCTGCTCATTTACTTTTAGAATGATTTAAATATTGAAAACTACATGAAATACGTCACGACGTTCTGTTGATATAACCAATGTCTACAAATATGTGAGATCAGGCTCTATTTTAGAAATATAGCCTGACACAAACCTTAATCCGATCGCTTTCCACCCACCGCAAAGTCTATATTTAGTCACCAATCAAAATGTCGCAGGAGAAATTTGCAACTAAATGGAGCTGAGCAAATAATTTCGTGAGTAATTTGCTTGTTTCACAATTTCTTAATTAACGAATTGGTCAGTGTTTTGAGCGTTTTTGTATAAAAATTGGTATTAAGATTTTGAGTGATGTTTTTCCTTTTTTCTAGATCTGACCCAGATTTTCACAAGGCATATAAATAGTATTATTATATAAAGTAGCTTTATAGAGATGGCAAGCACTGATAAAAGTAATAATCTCACTTGGAAGATTATTTATGATAATCTTACAATCATGTGAAAATTATCTCTTTTCTGTAAAAATGATCGCATTTCAAAGACTACCTTTTATATAATAAACAGAAAAATACATTGGCGCTTGGAAATACCAGATTTATTTCTTGTGTTGAACATGATATCTCGCTTGTTCGCTGCGCTCACTCGTGAGAAATCATGTTCAACACTCTCTATTTATTAACTACGCTAAATATTTCAATACAGACAATGGATTGCAATAATTTGCAAAACAGTTATGTTGTCAGAATTTTATGTTTTGGTTGCTAGGCCTTTGCCTGACGGGAGGTGTGAGGTTAGATTTACCTGAATTTTTCCAACGTTTTCACCTGATTTTGTGACGCCTGCGAGGCGCCACCATGATTGGTACCGAGCAAAATGTTTTGAAAATTTGAAGACTCTACACCTTTTCCTGGTCGTTTTCGGACATTTTGAGATGAAATTCAGAAACTGCAATTCGAGTTCAGAAATTTTCTAGTGAGGTTCAGATCATGCAAGTCTATTTCATACTTAGTCACGTTCATTTCGAAATTGTTGAAATGAATTTCAACAATTGCAAGTGAATTTGAGAAATGTACACAAAAATTCAGATAATGTAATGCAACTTCAGACGATTTATTGTGGATTTCAGGCTCTTTCATTTTGAATTCAACAATATTACAGCATTTGGTTCATTCGTAATTATTTTGTTACACAATTATTACACACAGAAAATGTTTGCTTCACTACAACAAAATATAATGATATTTTTAAGGAGAAGCATTACACAACAACACACAATTATATGCTCCCACATTCATGTCTTCCAGGTTAAGCGCACGCTGGAAAAACCTTGAGAATGCTGGCATGAACGATATTCTGTAGCTCAATCTGATCCATCGCTTCATCAGTTAACGCTTCCACATATTGAAGGCGTTGCTCACCCACTTCTGGACGGTGAACTTGAGGAACACGCATTCGCTGTTTCACCACTGCTTCCATTTTACTCCATACGGTGTTGACAGGATTCAACATTGGGGAATACTGCTCCAGACGACAGAAAGTTAAGCCCGGCTGCTCAATCACACATTCTTCAAACTTACTATGACAAGGAGCATTGTCACAAACCACGACAACTGAGTCGACTGTAATTCCAAGAGGGAGATTTTCCAGCATTTCTAGCAACCAAGCCTTGGCAGTATTGGATTTAAACGCTCCACGACGTCTGATCATGTATATCATCTGATAGGCTGACAATGCACAGATAACATGAATGTTTGGTCCCTGTTATAGACGGCGTGTAATTTTCATTAACCATGAGGTTTTCATATATTTATTTAGTACAACTCAACAGTTTTTACAGAAAAAACCCTGTTTCCCAAAACGTTTTGTGTTCGTTCTGTCCTCTGACCTCTCTATTTTCAATGTTACTGGACGAAAGTCTATTACCATAATAAATTAACATGAACTATATAATAAACTGGACAAAGTCCAAAACACCCCCGCCCGTGACGTGAACGGGGGGAACGTTACTCATCATTAAAAGCTTCCAGTAATGCTAACCGTCCTACAGGACGTGTCAATGTTCCAGTTTTCGTTGCAATCTCCGCGGATCTGATCAGTCCGTCCTCACTTGCGATCGGTGCAATCACTCTTCCGAGCCTCCAATGCGAACGAGGTACGTCCTTCTCAAGGATCAAGACAAGATCACCGCGACGTAGATTTCTGTGTGCAACATTCCATTTGCTTCGCTTTATTAACTGCGGAATGTACTC